ATAAGAGTCGACGAAGCTATATGATGTTGGTGGTAGTTGTTTCCAGGGCCCTGAGTTTAGATTGTAAATAATTTTTGTGTGATTATTGTCTATATGATTATACTTGGTATGTCATCTTATGTTATTTTCTTTGCTTTGATTATGTACCATTGATATATGTGTTATATTTGATTGGACTTCTATTGCAATTTTCTTATACAAAAAGTTTTATTGTTCATGAATAATTAAGAGTTTGGGGATATTTTTAGTAGAATTTAAGTTGGATGGGTGAAGCGGAGGAATGCTTCGAGCCTATTATTTGATGGCGGTAGGACTTGTAATGCCTCAAATTGCATAATGTTGGTCTCTAAAAGAGAAAGATAAAATTTAGTCATGTGTTGCTTAGATATGATGCTCAAGTGGACGAGTGGTTTTACACTTAGAAACAAAATGTGAAATGAATATATTTGTGAACGGGTTGGAGTAGCTCCAGTGATACACAAAAGTTGAGAGAGACATCTTGGATGAATTGATTACATTAAAAATCGACCACCTAATAACCCAGTTAGAAAAGTAGATGTTTTAGATTTGAGTTTTGTTAAGAAAGGTGAAACTAGACCTCAAAATTCTTGGGCATGTTATATAAAAAATGAGCTTGATTTATTAGAACTAAATGAAATTATGACACAATAGAACACAATGGAGAAAAAAGATTTGGCTAGACCTCAAAAGTCTTGGGCATGTTATATAAAAAATGAGCTTAATTTATTAGAACTAAATGAAATAATGACACAATAGAACACAATGGAGAAAAAAGATTTGCGTGGCCGACCCCTCTTAATGAGAAAAAGACTTGTTGTTATTGTTGTTGTAGTTGTTCAATAATTAGTAGTTTGCTTAGATTTATGTCAGTTATTTTGGAAGTTTTGAGATTCCAACTATTGATCTCATTGAAACTTTTTTCTTTTTTGGTTAGTCTCTGCAATAATATTCCCTTTTGAGCAAGGAGCACATTTGAAATTTCTTTTAGCAGAGTTCATCACTCATGTGTATTGGACGGATGTCTTGGTGAATATTGTTGGAATGGGTGTTTCTTTGTTCTCATGAAATAATATGATCATGTATGTGCTTTAAGAGTTAGAATGGTTGCATCTTGTGATCTAAACAATCCTCGAATCATCACCACAAATAACAAGGTGGTGAATATTCTAAACGGTGTGTCAATATTAGATGACCTGCGTCCAATATTCATTGACAAAGCTAAGAGAAATTGTATGGAAATATGAAATTTTACCAACCATAGTGTTGTGAGCCTCAATGAGATCCTGCGGATGTGCAAACCTTATATTCATACCAGCTTCAATTGGATGCTTAGAAATTGAAGAGAGAGTTGCCATGACTACATAGAATAAATAATCTGTTTGAGCCGAACACGAAGCAAGTGAAATGATGCATTGTATCATGTGTTATGGCTTGGATAATAACACTAAGGAGAATTCCTTAATGTTAAAGTAGAAGGAATATTTCATTTTCAAAATGAATATGGTAATTAGTTTATGTGTTAATCTTAATGACCGCAAAGCTAATGATTGTAATAATTAGAGAATTCATTTATGTTATTTAATAGAAATCTTTGGCATAAATTTGGACGAAATTTATTAAGAAAAATGGTGTGTTAGTTTTATTGAACCACTAACTTGTGCAAATACTATTGTTTGATGTGAATAGATTATTTTTAGAGTCTGTGCTAAGATTGTCATCGGCTATCTATCACTTGCCATAGTTTGGATTTTTTATGTGAATGATTGGATTTATTGGTATTTTGGTGATTAAGGTGCATTGAAAGAGTAGAGACTGATTAACTCGACATCGAATTGATGTTTGATAATAGTTGTGATTGTTGTCATCAAATTCCTAAATATAAGCATTATAATGTCGAAATTGTTCATTTCGACGCCACTGTTTTTCAAATCCATCATTCAGCTCCACATAACTGGTGACAAACAACAATTTGGTCTCTTGAGATCAGTCAAATTATATTATGGACAAACATGACTCCAATATTTGGCTTTCTTTATTCCAAATTATGTGCAATAATAATGAACTATTAAGCCTCAATATGGTAGTTGAGATATTTTGTATTATTATTATGTATTTTAATATAGAAGGATTTAAGTGGGGTCATCTAATTTGATCATACAACAAATATATAAAAATAAATATTAATAGTTATTTAATTAGATAAATGAGTCATTAATTTTATGGTTTGTAGTATTAAATTCAAATGAAATTTCTTTTAGCATGCACAAATTGGTATTTTAATTGATTTTAATGAAATTAATGTTAAGGAAATTTTATGGCTATGTTTATTTGGCATGTTCTTCTACATGATAAATATATTTTGTTTAAATCAAAACAAATACAAAAATATAAAAATGCAAAGTATAGAACAAAAAAAATAATAATGATTCAAATATCTCTTTAGTAAATTGATTAACAATACAAACCTAAATCAAAGGGCTACATATTGATGTTTAGAATTATAAATAAAAAACATTAAACCTAAATAATATCTTCACTAAATTTGATAGGGGCCGCGCGAACGCGAACCCCCCTATCACAAATTATGACGTCCACTCTGCCATTTAGGCAGATGGTAGAGCAACACCCTTTCAAAGTGCAATGAAAGTCATTGATCTAGGCCACAGGCATTTTTGATCACCCGTTGAGACCCCGTCCAGGTAAGTATGGAACCTTGGCTTCAAGTTTCACATTAAATATGTGAAAGTGGGATCCGCTTTTGAGCATAAACGATGTGGGACTAAAAAGCAGAGCCAAACTATTCCTCATATTATATTTTAACTGTAGCTGGGCGGTGCTCTCGTCTTCTTTGGGCAAGTGGTACTAGGAAGAAATAGTGATATATTTTGACTTATTTTTAACTGGAAATAAAACATTGATTGAAACTATTTTATTTAAATATTTTATTATAAATTATAATTAAAAAATTCGTATTATTTCAATCATTTATATAATACTTAAGTTTGGCAAAATGAATGAAGTATAAACATTATGGCTATTAATTATGATCGTTTGCATATTAATTAACGGACAATTACATAGATGACAACGTATTTATAAATATAATATCTAATCCAAACATTTAGAATTTAAGTCCATGCATTTAATAAAATTAAGAAAATATGGGTTCATATTTTATTATGAATTTCAATTTGTAGATGAAATTTTAACAATTGGATTGGTGTTATTTATAAATTATCTTTTTGATTAATTATAATTATAACTACAAAATATGGGGGACAGTTTGGGATCACTTTTATTTTTATTTATTTTATTATATATTATTTATGTTTCAACTTAAATTAAAAAAAAATGTATATTTGATTCGTCGAGCTATTTTTAAAAATATTCAAAAATATATTTTAGGTGTTTTGATTTTTTTTAAAAAAATAAATTAATTTATTTATAAGATGAAAAATAAAAATATATGAAAACTATACCAACAAAAAAAAAAATAGTTTCAAAAATAAATATAAAAATTAAAAAAAGAAACAAAAATGATGTCTAATGAGCTCTAAATGTGAATAAGATTGCATGAACTAGTTGACTTTAGAGAAAAAAAAAAGCATAGACTTGGTCTAAATGCAGTTATAATAAAATATGTAGAAAAATAAATTGATTTAATTAAAAAATACAGGTATAAGAAAAAACATATCGTCCGAAAAATATGAGTTGGGGTTTTACCATGAATTTGGTATTTATATGAGAATTTGAATGATGGATAAAAGAGGATGGTTAGTTTGTAAATAGTAAGTTTCGGGTGGTTTGTATGTAATTGCTTGAAAGTGCTTGTTTAACATGCAAGAGGCAGAGAGGGAGCGGCGGAGCGGCGGATTTGTTAATCAATTTGAGACAGAAAGAGTAATGAAAAACCTTTTGATGCAGCATATGAACAAAATCTCTAAACTAGGTGTTTTAAAAATTGATCAAAATTGCCAAATTGACTCGAACTAGACATAAAAAAGTGTGGGTTCGGATCCACCTAAATATTTTTGGGTTGGGTTTGGCTTTGGAATACCCTGTTTAATTTTTCAGCTAGGGTTCAGGTTGATCCGTCAACCCAATATTGACCTCACCCCAATATTGGCCTAAAAGTAACCCGCCAACATGAAACTGACTAGTCGATAGAAAATTGACCTGAGATCAACCTGAACTTGACCCAAACTCAACATGAATTACTATTTTCTTATTTTAAAAGGGTTATATGGGTCGGGTTGAACTTTATGATCTATTTAATATTCGAGTTTGGTTCAAGTCAAACAATTTAGAGTCGGGCTAATTTCGATCAGACCCGAACCCGACCTGCGAATTTGATTTGACACCCATAATCTAGATCTTACGCCATAATTCAACCATTAGATCCACTATTTGTAAGTGTTGGGGTCAAGCAATTGCACTCCTAATCAAGTTAAAAGTTTTGAACCCCAATGTTTAAATTCATACAAATATATATGAATTGGGTGATGTGTGTGTGTATAAATTCCCATTAAAAAAAAAAATTATATGCAAGTAATACGTCGTAAGCCCTCATAAACATGTAAAAATCCAAATCATAACAAAAGCATGAATGTTAAACACAAGTAACTGCAAATTAAGAAGTGGGAAATTGCAGACTGAGACTTATTGCTCAAGTTCAAGTCAAAACTTGAAAATTTCAGAGCTCTGCTCAAGCCAAACTAACTATAACTCCAATGCCATCATATCCCTGCATGGGTGTTTATTTCCATTTTTCTAATTTTTAAGATATTTGAATCTACGACCTCCTATAAAAATAAAAATTTTAAAGAACCCATTCTGCGTTTCAATTTCTGGTCTTATTTCAGCCTTCATTTGATATACATATGAAGTTAGAAATGCCTATATTAGTCCATAGAACCACATCGTTGTAAACAGTAGGTAGCAAAAAAGTTAAAACCTCAATGAACTAAGTTTTTCTAGTGAGAAAATAATCACCAAGAATATTAAACAAAGTTCAATTCAAATACATACAATCATTTGAAGTAAATTCTTAACCTAGAGTATTTCTAACAGTTGCCCTTTCTATAAAGCTACTCGCTATAACATCAATAGATTGAATGCAATTATATGTTGAGGTATTGATGTTGGTATGATCAATAAATACTTGTAATCGCAATGGAATCACTAATGATCATTGAGGAAGAATAGGAGGAGAAATCAACCGTGTGTTGTAGGACTGGCAATGGAGGCATTTGTGACCAACAACGTGAAAGAAGGCTTCAGGAGTATCGTTACAGTCATTGCAAAGGATCCATACCTGCGAAGGAAAAATTCATAAATATATTGAATCAAGAGGACTAAACTACAGAACATGTCAGAATTCATCCTTATTTATCCAAGCAATGGCAGGACAGAATAGTTAAATATCTGCAAGGTGGATCCAATAAAGCTCCAGAAATTTCAGCTGCATAAATTCGGAACAAAATGAGCTGCACATTTATGTTAAAGCTCCAGAATTCTAAGAATTTCATATTTTGAAGCTAGAAATAAAACTCGTGAGAATTGTAAAAAGGATAGCGAACTGCGAGCATTGTGTGTATGTAGGATGCGTATTTAAAGCACACTTGTGTTTTATTTATTTATTTTATTTTATTTTATTTTATTTTTGAAATTCGGATTTTGGCTTCTATTAAAGTACTATTTTGATAATAAAAAACATGTTTCTTTTATCATAATAAAAGCAACCAACTTTTGTTGTCATTAATAGTAGTATTTAATTGTGCATCTAATCTTAAATTGAGTCAGTAGCCCCATGACCCTTTACCATCCTACAATAATTTGGTATCCAAGCCAAATTTGCGTGAATGGGTAGGGCAATCACGATATGAATGATGTTTTAACTACTTTGATAAACTAACAAAAAGAGTTATTAGCAAAATATGATCAACTAAGTTTAACGATAAATCAAATTAATGGCCGATTTGAATTTTTGGAAAGTATGTCAACTGAAAAACACCAAAAAAATTTATGATAGCAATGAGCAACAACTTATGCTAACGATAAATCAAATTAATGGCCGATTTGAATTGTTGGAAAGTATGTCAACTGAAAAACACCAAAAAAAAATTTATGATAGCAATGAGCAACAACTTATGATATCGACAAGGGCATAATTAGGCAAGTTAAAGGTGATGTGTTAACTTTCGCTGGAAGGATAGAAATGGATAATTTATCTCATTAACAAATAAAGTCAAATCCGAAACATCTACTCTCCCAACCGGATCATCAGATGGTTAATGCGACCAAACAATCTAAGACGACTCTCTCTAATTTTGTCCGCCACAGGAGCTACACCAAGCCTATCACGGATATATTCATTTAACATTTTGCCTCTAAGTGTAAAGCCACTCATCCCCCTAACCATTCTCATCTCGGCATTACTTAACTTAATTTTATGCTTCTCTTTTAAAGGCCAACATTTTGTGTCATAGAGCATTGCAGGTCTCACCACCATGTTATAAAATTTTCCTTACAGTCTAAGCAGTACTTTTCTATCACATAATAGGCTCGAAGCATTCCTCCACTTTAACCAACCAGCTTGAATTCTACTAATAACATCCCCGTACATATCACCATCACTTTGAACAATAGACCCGAGTTATCTAAAGTGTTCATACATGTTACGTAGTTAGAACGCTGGCATTAGAGCTACTACTACTAAAATTACATTCCATGTATTTAGTTCTAGTTCTACTCTAACAAAGACCTTTAGACTCCAATGTAGACCGCCATAATTTAAGTTTTTGTTGAGTTCCTCCTCTAGTCTTATCCACAAGAAGGATATCATCAGTGAAAAGCACGCATAGCATACATCAAGGTACATCCTCCTGTAAATATACTACAAAAATATTTTAATATAAGTTGAATCTGAAACATATACTCTCCTAACCAGATCATCATATGGTCGACGTTAAATGTGACCAAAACACTAAGATGCTCTCTCTAATCTTGTCTACCACTGAAGCAACACCAACCCTTTCACGGATATATTTGTTTCACATTTTGTCTCTAAGTGTAAAGTCACTCATCGACCCAAGCATTCTCATCTCAGCCACACTTAAACTTAGTTTTATGCTTCTCTTTCATACGAAATCAAAACATACTGCTAAACAAAATATGTACTTGATAGATGTAGAGAGACAAAAAAAATGACAAGCATTAGAACCAAATAAAATTATTGTTAAAAGAAAAATATTTGCACTTATCCTATTGGGACCAATTGCTTGATGAGTTTACCAAATAAAGTAAGAAACTAAAACTATAAATGAGTATAAGAACGGTTGAATGGATTTAATTCCTCCCCCCTCCCCCTGCCCAAAGCGAGCTGAAACCACAAAATTAATTTGCTAAAACTAATTTGCTTGAAGATTTTAAACGATTTTAGATTTTTAATAACGATGAAAATTTCTAGCACCAAAAAGAATTCCTTCATGTGGGGGAAATATCTCTCTCTGCCAAATAAATCAAAATGAAATGAATATGGCAAAGAGTAACGCTATTGTCAATAAAGCGTTATTTACATATCTAACTCCCAAAGTTTGATATTTACATTTATTACATTTTGGTGCCATGAATCTATACATTAAAATGTGCATTTTTAAAAAGTTTGTGTTACTTTTATGTAAAATTAAAGATTAATATTATGATTGTAAATATGAAAGTTTAGTTTCTAGATATGTATATATATTTATATAAGAATTATGTGGTATGTATGTAAATGACCCAAAAGGAAATTGAACAAAAGTATTGAAATTAATTTTCTAGTTTTTCCTCAATTCATGTGTGTAAGCTGATTGAATGTGTATCTGATCACTTCGCAAGTGTTAACGAGAGTTTCCTTATTCTAGCATGAGGCTTGAATCTTTGTTCTATGTAATTTCTATACATGTTCTTATTATTAATTTGCTCAGTGACTGGCAAATGTTCCTGATTGAAATTTTGTCGTGACATATTCATTTTAGTCATCTGACACTTCACCTTTGTTACAAATGAAAATTTGTTCACGATTTTCTCATGACATTTCGAGTATACTAAAAACGCATGCTTGTTGATTTACGTTAAAATGAGTGATTTTGCTAAAATTGATGATTTATAAATGTGGATTGTGATATTTTGTGTCATTGCGCATCTCATCTTAGATTGTATTAGTAACCCTACTTACCTAACCATCTTGCTCCATCATAGCAACACAATATTTGTATGAAAACTAATTTTAAAGAAAATATAAGATGTTAAGGCCGGCAAAGAATGACAAAAGGACTTAAATAAAACTCCATAACAAGGAATGACATAAGGACCTCAAATAAAATGAAATCAATATATGAGACAACACTTCTTTTAAGAGTTTCATCAGCATAAAGGAAATGAGCAGAAAAATTATATCGATAAGAAACCTTTCTCTCTCGATAATCCTCAGGCATCAAAGTAGCTTCTATCTGTGAAAAGTGAAGAAAAAACTAGTTAGCATAACAAAGTGTTGTGAAACTGAAGGAAATAACAATTGGAAGTAAGAAATAAACAATAATATTACAAAGGTACGGATCCTAGATGCAAAAGATAGCAGCAAGAGAAGAGATGACATTTAATATGGATAACAAGAAAATTATTGGCAAAGGATTACAAGCTTAACTATTCGTAGGAGAATGTGAGGCCTAATTCTTCAGGCCTTCCTAAGCTTAAATTAGCAAAAGCTGTACTATACACTTATTATTGATTTCCAAGAACATTTCTCAACTTCTCTGCATTCATCAAGATCAACCAACAGTAGTATTATGCAACCTCGTGCCTTCTCAAATCTTTGATATTAAAAAGTAGTAGAGATTTAAAATAAGTAGTTCTTACATTCAGGTAGCATATAACTTCCAAGTTATGCAGTAGGGAAATCAAGTCTAGAAGTGCAGAAGTCACATATCAGTAATGCCAAGCCAGATCCGTGTATTTTCTTTGTAAGGCATTATATATCAGTATCAACTACTCAAGAGGAATGCGCAAAATCAATGAACTATGAGAACGTTTGTGAGATAAAATCCTATAAACACTGTTACAGTACTAAATCACTTTTTGATATTTTGAAATTTGAAAACCCTTGGCAGAAGACAGATGAAATAGACCGCCATAATTTAAG